CTTTTGTTGGCTGTTTTGACTGTAAAGCGCAAGCTGCACATGATCGAACTTTATTTTCAATGTCTTTGTCAATTCCGGGCCAATAACAGTGGAGTCTTGCGAGTCGTTTCATTCTTACCATTCCTATGTGTGTTGCATGAAGCTCTTCTAAAACATGAGAGCATAGTGATCTTGGAATGTAGACACATTCTCCTCTGAATACAATTCCTTGATTGGTTGAGTAGATTGGATCATTTGCACCTTCTTTTATTTGTTTCATAAGATCTTTCATTCCTGGATCGTAAGCAGTTTCTTTTGAAATTGAATCACTCGTGATGTTGATTGATGAGATTTGAAGGATTGAATTCTGTTCTATTTCATCTTCTTCTTTATTCAGTGCTGTGTCGATACCACGATGTTCCGTTGTTTGAAAAGTCCTGGATAGAAAATCTACATTTTGGTGTTGTTCTGCTTTCCGATGTTTGATGTTGTATTCAAATCCTCTGAGGAAAACTGCATAGCGTAAAAGTCGACCAGCTGTCATTGGAGGAACATTCTTTGGGTGAAATATTCGTGTGAGTGGTTGGTTATCTGTGATCAATTCAAATTTTCTTCCATAGAGGTAGTTGAAAAACTTTCCAATAGAAAATACAATAGCGAGTGCTTCACGATCAAGTTGGCTGTATTGGGACTCTGATTTTGAAAGTGAGCGGGAGACGAATGCAATGGGCCTTTCTTCTCCATTGATAATTTGTGATAGTACTCCTGAGATCCCATGTGGGCTTGCATCGCAGGCTACGGATACTGGAAGGTCTGGGTCAAAAGGAACTACCACTCTATCTGAGGCTATTTCCTTCTTGATGTTGATGAACGCTTTCTCACAATCTTTTGTCCAGTTGAATGGTTTATTCTTGATGAGTAACTGGCGTAGAGGGTAAGTTATGGTAGAAGCTGCTGGAATGAATTTTGAATAATAAGTTACAAGTCCTAGAAACTTTCTCACTTCCTCTACTGAATTTGGTCTTTGAATATTGAGGATATTTGACACTTTTGCTGGAGACTTGGATATCTTGTTATTTTCAATAACATATCCTAGTGATGCTTTCTTGGAAGAATGTGCATTTATTTCTGTTGAGGTGAAGATTGTTGGTTTGAAGTCGCTCCAGACAAGCTACAAGGTTGTTGAAACATTCATCCAAAGTTGACCCGTAGACAATTATGTCGTCAAAGTAAGAACTGACACCTGGGAGGTCTTGTAGAACTTGTTCCATTACTTTTTGAAATATGCTGGGTGCAGTCTTGATTCCAAAAGACAATCTGTTGACTTTGTAAGTACCTTTATGGGTTGATATTGTTTGAATACAAGCACTTTCTTCATCGACACCTATGTGTAGGTAAGCTTTAAAGAGGTCGAGAGTACAGAAAAACTTGGCGTTTCTCAGTTTGTGGAGTGTTTCGTCGATCCTAGGAATCGGATAGTGTGAATCGTAGAGTTGAGGGTTGACTGTGACTTTATAGTCTGCGCATAGCCTAAGTGTACCATCGGGCTTAGGCACTACAACTAAGGGTGAACCCCAGTCGCATGATTCGATTTTAGTGATGATTTTGTCTTGTTCGAGTTTGTCAAGATCATGTCCCACTCTATTCCGGAGTGCATACGGTAAAGGTCTAGGTTTGAAAAATACTGGTTTGGATTGAGGTCTTAACTTTAGAGAGCAGGTGACATTAGGAATATGTCCTATTTCTGGTGAAAACATTTCTGGAAATTTTTATTCCACTGCAGTTACTAGTTTGTCTGTGTCACTGGAAACTATGTTTACATAAGTACCGGTATCTTTTGGTCCCTGGGTGTCAAGATCGTTCAAATAAACTCCAAGTTGTCTTATTCAAGTCCTACCTAGTAGAGGACTGTACATGTCAGGAACTACAAACAACTGCTGTGTAGATGAGCGTCCATTGTATTCAACCTGAACATTAACCAAGCCTAAGGGTTGGAAAACCTCATTTGTGTAAGAACGAAACCTTATATTTGTATTCTGGATTGTGTTTTGAGGAAGATTAAGTCTGTCAAATTGAGCCTTTGGTAGAAGTGTATGAGCTGCGCCTGAATCTACCTCAAACTTTTGTGGTTTCCCATTGATTAGAATAGTTGTAAAAAATTTTTCTGTGTCTGATGAATTGTAGTCAGATACATTGAGAATTTGAAGTTGCCCTATTCCATAAAGTGAGTTTATGTCCTTTGAATTATTTTGAGTAGTACTTATTGTATTAACTGTAGGCCTGGATTTCTTAGAGAGTAGAGTTGATATACAGACCTTGGCTATGTGTCCATCCTTGTCACAGTTTTGGCAGTGAAGGCGTGATATGTTGGTTTTACATTCCCTTGACGTGTGATTTGCTTTACCACACCTTAAACATAGGTTTCCAATTCCAAGTGTTGCCAAATCAACCTTATTTCGTCTTGTGAAAGGGTGATTTAGTCTGTTGTCAGATCTGTTGTTGAGGTACCGTAGGCTGTCCTTCTTGGTGTTGGTGTATAATTCTGGTGAGTTGGTCTTGTCAATAACTTGTTGACTTCCGCCTGTGACGATGTTTGAGGACTAGAAAAGTTGTTAAGAGTTGCACTGTCTATTTTCGAAGCTTCAATTGCTATTGCCTTTTCTACGGCAATGTCAAATGTTAAGTCCTTGGTCTGGATTAATTGTTCTCTAATTGAAGAGTCATTAATTCCCCTGATAAACTGTGATCTTAAGAATAAGTCAGATACAGATGCTTCACATGATGTACAGGTAAGTTTGCAAGTTGCAATTTGTTTCCTAAGAGCTGTTACATAGTCTGTTATTGATTCATTTTGTGCCTGGATTCTGGATAAAAACTTATGTTGTTCTACAATTGCATTGGCTTTTGGAAAGTAATTGTCCAATAATTTTGTAATTTCATCATAGGTTTGCTCATTAATACTTTTTGGAGCTGAGAGTGAAGACAAAAGGTCATATGTTTTAGAACCTACACTATTGAGAAAAAGCTGGGCACAAATAGTTTTATCGTCAAAAGCATTCTTTATCTTTAGGTAATTTTCAAATCTTTCTCTGTATAGTTGAAAAGTTTCTTTGTTTGAGTCAAATTGTTCGAAATTGGAAATCAAAGTGATGTTTGATTGTGGAGTCTTTGACATACCTTGAATAGCTGAAGACAAGGTCTTGATTAATATTTCAAATTGTCCTTTTGGTTCATTTTGAAAATATGTAGAATAAACTTTAAAACAAATAGAAAACACACGTTAGGCTCTCCTCGTCGCCATTTCTGTTGTGTATTGTAAGTTTATATATTGAAATAAATAGTTAAATTAATATATAGATGAAAAATGAGCCTTATCATGTTACTAGTTTATTTACATCAATCGCATCACATTTTTGAAAATAACATATGATTAAATTATTAAATGCATAGCATTTGAAACATAGAGATATACAACAGGTACATAGTGGTAGTACCACCGTTGTGATAGTCCAATCTCGGACAAATGAACGTTAAATGTTTACATTGTAGTAGCTTACATATTTTTAAGCAAGAAAAGACTGGCCGAGACGGTTAAGTTTTTACTCTTTGTTATAAATGAAAGGTTTGTTTACCCCATTTGTGCAATTCTCAATACCTTCAGGTTCTTATTGGAAACTCCCATTCTGATAATAGGACTGTGAAACTTATATCAAGAAATTATTTGGATAAAGTTTGTCAATTCAATTCTGCCTTTACCATGGTCAGCTCCAAAGCTCTCATTAAGATGAGAAAATTCCACAGGGGATCTACAATTTTAAGATCCGCGACACGTTTTACCACCGAGTGGGTCCTCTAATTCCTCAAAAAGGTGATGATCCTGAATACGCACAGATATATAAGTACCGGTAAGTACAACAATGTTACTAGAACCCAAAAGAGAATTAAGCACAATTCAAATAAAAAATGCAATGAAAACAATTGGGGGAAATAGGGTCACAATGCCAACCCATTTGCAAATCTTCGAAGACTGTGGCAGACATTATGTAGGGACGAGAGCTCCGAGGAGTCAAGTGAGATTCTTATGTAGGTACATAATAAGAGACAGAAGAAGTGTCTTCTAACTATAACAACGTGTTATTTAACAATGCTAGAATAAGAGTAGTGATGGTTGGCGTCAAGAGAGGAATTGAGCTACATTAGGTCAAAAGCTCACTTTACAGTGTGTGGTTGACATCTACGTGCTCATAGAGTGCACCCGCCAGTAGGCGGGACAAATAACTGTTATAGTAATACATAAGAGATAACCAAAGCAGTATGAGAGTGAATGTAAATTTTAATATTGTAGATTACTTTTATATATTTTTTACATCATAATATTTTTATATTTCTATAATCAGTCATATCAATGAATTATTTTTGAGCGACTCTTTGATTAAGGTCTTGCTGTTTATGTTTTTTGTTTATTTTTTACATACAAGTTTCAGTTTTGCTCGATTTTGAGCAACGTGTTATCTAGTGTTATTAAAATATATTTAACTGAAAATCAATTCAGACAAATGGAAATTCGCTTAGTCGGCAGGTTTGCTGCAGCTGGGGTATTTATTACATTGCAGTAAGACCATACAAAGCTATTTTTACATTTTTTACTTTTTTAAACTCTGGCCAAATCTTATAAATTTCTCCCATAAGCAGAAAAACACGTGATCTTTATTTTTTGTAAATACCCAAACATTTTCACTTTAAGTGTTTACTATAGCTACTTAGGAATTTTTACAACATTCTATGCAAATTTGAAACAAAAATGCCATAGTGAATGCTCTGGTCTAAGAATTTTTCCATAGATACATAACTATCTAGACTAAAACTCGATGTTGTTGGTATTTATAGGGTTAATATATTGGACTGCACAAACAAGCTGCACAGTGGACCTCACTCTCCCTGAAGTGCAGTATTTAGCAAAACATTTGACAACGGATGAGTGTCACAGACTGGTAGCCTCTATTCACTTCAACTCCTTCCAGATGGAGCGTTGGAACAAACTGGAGGATGCTGAAAACGCACTTCCAAGTGATGTGAGCTGCCTCAAACTGTTGCTTGAGTGGAACTCGCACGAGGGAAAAGGAAAGACCCATGAAAAACTTTCACTGAGACTGCGTCAAATTGGGAGGCAAGATTTGGCTTCTTGGTTGGACTCAGCAGTGCTCGACGAACTTCAAGGAGAGATAGACAAATTGGCACAGAAGTTTTCAGAAACTCCTCAGGAACATCTCCCTCCTGTCCAAGTGTTTGAAAATGATGATTATTTTGAGCAAACGCTCATGAAAAATGATGACATTTGGGATTTAGTTCCGACTGTAACTATCCTATTTTTCATTGCTGTTTCTATCATAATTTTAACCTGTTTTTTCGCCCAAGTGATGAAGCCTTATAGAATGAGTAAATGGGAAAAAGACAAAAAATTGAATCATGAATTCAAATATGGGTCAGAGACACTAATTTAAAATATACATATAGCCTATCTGAAAAGTAAAATTCACTATCTAATTTTTAGGCATAGCAGTCACATTAATCAATGATAAGACAGACTAAATAATGTAAAACATTTGTCTGTTTAGCTTTAAGCAAATTTCCTATATAGGGGGAATAAGCTATTACCCTCTAGATCACATGGTAAGACCTAGACCCGGGACCGATTTACTTTTTCATTTTGAGGTCCCCAAAGACCAAAAACACCATCCGTTCAAATTCATACATATACAGGGTGTTTCACGAGAGGTGTCTCAAATTGATTACGGAAAAACGGCTTAACGTACAAGGATGAAATAAAATTATTTCTCGCTAAATCGACCCCAAGGAATAACGTAAAAATATTTTTAACTCTTTCCCAATACAGGGTGTGCCAAAAACTGAGGGTCACTAGTTCCAATCTCGGAATTTTTTGTAAACATATGTCATGTTATACATCGTTTTAAAGGTATTTGATAGACAAACATTTTGGCAAAAACATAAATTAAATATCTTTTTCCGTTTCAAAATAGCGGCAGTTTTTTTTTAATCTATATTTTTTTAATACTCTATGTTTCCTATACCAATCCATTTAGCGTATGTTTCCTACCAATGCATTTAGCGCTTCTCTGGTTGGATTTTCTTACTCGTTATGAAATTAGCATTACTTTGATATGCTAAAAGAGACAGTTATTTAAAATGATAAAAATTAAAAAAAAAATATTTTTGAAAATTTGCGAATGCTTGTTGTTCAAAATTTATAAATAGCAACATATGTCAAGTGGCACATCATTTTATAGGTTTTATAATCCATAACAACTTTGTAATTTACACTTACTTTGTATCTCTTTTAGTTTTTGCATAAATAACAAAAAACCGAATTTTCCTATATTAAATGCATTTAATATAAAACTGTATATAAGGAAATAGAGCCATTAACAAGTATAATTAAAAAGAAAAGAATTTCATTCATTGGACATCTTTTAAGGACACCGGAAAATAGAATAAGCAAAAACATAATTGACAAGTTGTGGAATAGCAAGAGTGACTTTAGGTGGATTACAGAGATTAAGGAGGAAATGAGAAGGTTGAACATATCATTAGAAGATTTGGAAAATAAGTCAGAGGCGCTTGCAGTACTCAAAGACAAAAATATCATCCTGCCAATATGAGCAAACAATCAGAGACAAGGAAGAGTGGTTTCGGAAGAAGAAAGAAAACAACGGTCGGAAAGAATGAAGAAGTATTGGACGGACAAGAAGAAGAGACAGAATTAAAATACCCCCGCCGCAGCAAACCTGCTGACTAAAAGAATTTCCATTCGTCTGAATTGATTTTCAGTTAAATATATTTTAATAACATTAGGTTTAACGAGTACCTAGGTTTGCTGCTACAAGGAAACTAACTTAAGTGTGTTTTTGAGTATAATATTGATAGCTTAGTACAAAATAAATAAATTTGCCAAGTTTGATCAAAATATATTCATAAACAAGCAAACTACAACATTTGACAATATTCTCCATAAGAATAACATGGGAATTTTGAATTTACAATTTTTTAAATTTTCTCCGTTACTAATAATCGAACAAAAATACTTTTATATACTAAATTATTTGTTTTTTTAAGCTCTTTAAAAAGGTCTAAAGAGAAATTGGGAAATTTTGTGTTTTGAGGGTCAAAAGTGAGAAAAACCAATTTTTACCCCATAAAACCCCCCGTAAAGCCCCGTTCCCATGGTCCAATCGTGCTGGTTCGCGAACTCATTCAAGTTTATCCCGCTTTACACCTTTAAACCAAATTTCATCAAAATCTGACAAAAATTACTCAAGTTATCGCGTTCACGGACGTATATATATATATATATATAAATCTATATATATATATATATATACATATATAAAAATTTGAACGAATAGTGTTTTTGGCCTCTGGGGACATCAAAATGAAAAAGTAAATCGGTCTCGGGCCTAGGTCTTACCGTGCCACCTACGGTAATAGCTACTTCCCTATAGGGAAATTCGCTAAAAGAATCTAACCATTAGGTATATTGACTTAAGTAAAATGCTGGCCATAAAATAATAATAAATAAATAAATAAATGCATTTTATTTGGGTTTGACGTGGTTTAACACTTAATGAAATGGAGCCTTTAGTGTTTAACCTAAATAACATGCATTTGATATAGGAAAATTAGGTTTTTTGTTATTTAAACAAAAACTAAAAGAGATACAAGGCAAGTGTAAATTACAAATTTGTTAGGAATTTAAAAACCTATAAAATGATGTGCCACTTGACATATGTTGCTATTTAAAAGTTTTGAACAATGAGCATTCGCAAATTTCTAAAAATAATTTTTTAAAAAAATTTTATCTTTTTAAATAATTGTTGCTTAGCTTATCAAAGTAAAGCTAATTTCATAACGAGTAAGAAAATCTAACCGGAGAAGCGACAAATGCATTGGTATAGGAAACACAAAGTATTAAAAAAATATAGATTTTTTTTCAAAAAAACTGCTGCTATTTTGAAACAGAAAAAGATATTTGATTTCTGTTTTTGCCAAAATGTTTGTCTATCAAATACCTTTAAAACGATGTACAACATAACATATGTTTACCTTTGAAAATTCCAAAATTCGAACTAGTGACCCTCAGTTTTTGGCACACCCTGTATTGGGAAAACGTTAAACATATTTTTACGTTATTCCTTGGGGTCGATTTAGCGGGAAATAATTTTATTTCATACTTGTACGTTAAGCCGTTTATCCGTAAGCAATTTGAGACACCTCTCGTGAAACACCCTCTATGTGTGTCCTTTAGCACAATAACTCGAGCAAAAATGATCTGATTTTGATTAAATTTGGTACAAACCTACGTTTATTTGAACATGTTGTGGATGATTGACACCAACTCATTTCACAGCTATGGTCTCGCCAATGTCATAGCCTTCCCTGCCATCAAAAAAATATATGCTTTCTAATTTTCTACGTTGTTAAATACTTAAGAGCCAAGATCTACAGCTAGTTAGCACACACCTTTAAAACTTGGTCGAGTTTTAAGTATCTCTAGGAAGTTAAGTTTCAACATTATTGCAACTTGAAACAGTAAAATCATTGATTTTTTTAAAACACGTTGACTGCGCGTGCCGACTTTAGTCGGCGTCGCCAGCGCTCCCAGGTGGCGCGCGCCGACTAAAGTCGGCACCAGACCAACAGAAATATATTGAGTCAGTGTGAGCTTAAGCAGGAAACCCACTGGTCCGACACGTCACCTTCCGTCAAGGCTCCGACACCTTCCGACAAAATTGCTTTGCATGATTTTAAATGGACTGAAACCCACTAGTCAGACACGACACCTTCCGACACGACACGTCACGACAACATTGCTCTCTGGGGCATTCTTGTCGGATGTCGGATCCGTCATTTCTCCACTCTGCGTGCACCAGGCCTAGATTTACTGTCTAGCTTTGTGTGTGATCACAATATGTGGAACGGGTATGAAACATGTGAAAACAAGAGTGTGATGTTTTTGTGCAATTATTGGTTACGGAGAAAATTCAAAGAATTTTTATTTCAAAATTCCCATGTTATTCTTATGGAGAATACTATAAAATATTGTAAGTTTGCTTTCTGATGGATATATTTTGATCACACTTGGTAAATTTCTTTATTTTATACTAAGTTATTAATACTTTACTAAAAACCACACTTTTTTACCCTCCCCGTAGCAGCAATCCTAGTACTCATAAAACCTAATGTTAATTAAATACACTTAATTGAAAATCAATTCAGGTAAATATAAATTTGCTTAGTCGACAGGTTTGCTGCGACGGGGGTATTATTGTTTACGTTTTGTACTGTACTTTTTGCTAATTTCCCTGTTGTAACGTCTCAATGACTTAAATCTGAATTTCATTTAATTGTATTTGTAGAGTTTTGAATATAATATCAGAATAAACTACTGATAAAAGTAATGAATGGACTGGCTGGATATTGGTATTTCCAATGCATTCCATTATTGTTGGTTTTATCTATATTCGTTTTCCTTATCTGCCAGACAGTATTGTTCTTGTTTTATGCTTTCACTTTTTGCTCTGTCTCAGTCTACACACTACTGCCTTCTAGTTAACATGTCCTCAAATATATTGTAGTTATAGATTCAAAATGTAGTCTAAATTCTCTCTTTTAATTATAACCAATGTTAGAACATAATAGTACAGTTCAGTGTATCAGTGACAGTGATGTGAAGTGAATGAAGTAAATCTTCAGTATTAATATTTGGATGAAACCTCTACAAGTGAATGGACTGGTAATTCTCTCCTGTCGTCAACCTGCACGCCACTTTTAAGCTCAAGTCATCCCTCTCCTCTACGGGCATCACTGGACCACTAGCAGAGTCTCTCTACGTCAAACCTCTACTCTCCTAGCTACTCCTTTGAGGCCAACCCTCTGCAACCTTCCCAGACGACATCGCCAGCTCCAACCCTCTTACAACCGCTTCGCTACCCACGTCACGACCTCACTTGAAACTCACCACAACCTGAACTTCTCTAGAAAGACTCCGCAAGTAGAAAATAATGTTTAACTTAATTTATTTAGCAATTATTCAAAATACTCTTACAATATTTCTATCAGATTTTTAGGATTTAAAAGTTTTAACCTTCCGGAAGATTTCATTTAATATTCTAATCTAATATAACAGTTCTTGTCATAATTCAATATATCCAATTTTAAAACCTGATATTAAAAAGTGTGTGAACTGAGAAGCAGAGTTTTTATTTCATGCTCTCCGATTGCCTTTGGGTAAAATTAAATTAATACATTTTGAGAATAGAATTTTTAAGATTTAAAATTCTCTACGACTCAACAAATTAATGGTCCTTCGAGCCGGATGGATTACAGTAACTTTTTAGTTGGTAATTTCTTTTGTTTTGCAAAAGGAGAGCATAAATAAGTTTTTTAAATTCTTTTGTAGTTTGTTTTAGAGGGTTTTTTAACTTTTTTAAGTTGCTTTATTTTTCTCTAGGGTTTCCTATACCTACCTATACCTCCTTGGTCATATAAACTTAATCTGCAAACATGACTCCCCGACCTACTGTCCAATTAGAAACACTTGTTAAAAGGAGAGAAAAATATTTTGCTAGACTACAAGCTCTATATGATGTTGGCAAAAAATGTATACAATTAGCTCAACAAAAACAAAGCTACACTGCTGAGTTAGACTCTTTTGTTTCTCGCTTCCAGCGAATCGAAGATGATTATGAGGCTTTTGAGCAAGTATCTGACGAAATAAACATTGCAAACACTCAGGTAGAAGAGGGTGAAAAAATTGATGTTACTAAAGCTTCATTGGCGTATGATGAGATTTATTTCAATGTGAAGACAATTGCTCGTAAGATGAATGTAGGGAATTTAAATACACAAAGTAAACCGGAAACTACTCAATCATCTGTCCCAACACAATCTTCTCAAGTAGCGAGACTACCAAAACTGGAAATTGAACCATTTGATGAATCAATTACAGCTTGGCCAAACTTTTATGCCCTCTACACCTCTATGATCCATAAGAACGCTTGCCTAACCAAGGTAGAAAAACTTACATATTTACGTAGTTTACTAAAATCTCACGCACTCTCTCTTATTGACACTCTAGCAATATCAGAAGACAACTATGATATTGCCATGCAAATTCTAATTGAACGATACCAGAATAAAAGATTATTAGCTTCAAGTTATCTTGACAAAATATTATCTTTTCGCCAAATGACAGAGGATTCAACTAACTCTTTCTCAAACTTCATGGAAGTATTCAACAGTAATTTGTCAGCTGTGAAGGTTCTTGACATTGACGATTTATTTGATTTCACTATGCTCCACATTGGTTTACGCTCTTTGACACCAAGTACTCGTAAGGATTTTGAAAGCCATCATTCAAGTAATGATATCCCAAAGTTTGAAGACCTTATCAAATTTGTCCAACAACAGCTCAAAATTCTAGAAATCACTAATGATCCCAAGGGAAAATCAAAACCTCACAAACCTACCCAGTTCTCTAAGCCATCAAGCTCTCGCAGTGCAATGCTCTCTACTGTGAATACAATTCACTACGATAAAGGGAAGAATGCTTCATTAACGTGCCCGTGCTGTCAGGACATCTCTCACAAGATTTATGGTTGTTCAAAATTTAAAGGCATGAGTGTAGCGCAACGATATGATCAAGCTAAAAAGAGTGCCTTATGTTTTTCTTGCCTCGGATCTCACATGATATCTGATTGTAAATCTAAGTCTAAGTGTTTCAAATGCTCTGGTAAACACCACACTCTCCTACATCGTTCAGATAACAGTCAAGTGACAGAGTCTAAGCCTAATGCTGGAAATAATGTAGAACCTAAGACTTGCCACTACACTAATACTTGTTCAAGTACAAACATGCTACTGAGTACTGCTATTATTGGCATCCGTGATAACGATGGTGAACTAAAACAGGTAAGGGCCATCATCGATGGAGGGTCACAAACTAGTTTAATTACTACAGAATGTGTTGAACGCCTTGGTCTAAAAAGACGTTACAGCAAAATTACGCTTATGGCTGTAGCTAATACATCTGTCTCCCAAAACAAAGGCTCTGTAATGTGCAGTATAAGCCCAATCTCTACACCTGAAACTGAATTGACAACTGAAGCGATAGTGGTACCTAAAATTTCTTCTGATCAACCTAACATCCAATTAGATCGCTCTGTACAGTCAAAATTCTCTAATTTAAAGCTAGCTGATCCCACTTTTGACCAAAGTGCACCCATTGATTTTTTGTTAGGATCTGACTTGTACTATGATATTATTCTGGACTCACACAATATAATCAAAGGTCAACCTTCCGCTTTGGCAACCATATTTGGATGGATTATTGGTGGCAAAGTACCAAGCATTTCTTCTACAAATGAAAACTCATACTTTCTGACCTGCTGTGAGTCTGTAGATAAATCAATCAAAAGATTTTGGGAAACAGAGTCAGTAAACACTAAGAAACCTATCAATCCTGAAGACATTGAGACTGAAAATCATTTTCAAACTACTCATTTTCGTGATGAAACAAATAGATACGTAGTTTCACTGCCTGTAAGATCAGACAACATTTCGTTACCTAACACAAGAGAAATCGCTAAGCACCGTCTAATAAATTTAGAATCAAGACTGAAGAAAACCCCAACGATGTATCAGGAGTATAGGGACTTTTTGAATGACTACATTGCTCAAGGTCACATGAGCATTGCGACTACCCCCTCTACGTACATCATCCCTCATCACTGTGTAAGGAAAGAAGATAGTAGCACTACCAAACTCAGAGTAGTTTTCAATGCCTCTTTCAAACCTAAAAATGATGATAAGTCATTAAATGACAATTTGTTCCCAGGTCCTAAGCTGCAAAAGGATATAACTGAAATTATAACAAACTTTCGTCTTCATTCCATTGTTGTGTGTTCAGATATTAAGCAGATGTATAGACAGATTGTTGTAGCTCCTGAGCAACGGAGTTTGCAACACATATTTTACAGAACCTTACCAAATGGACCTATTGAGGAGTATGAACTCAACGTTCCCACGTATGGTGTCACATCAAGTGCATTCCTAGCCCAGCGAGTTTTGTTGCAGCTTGTCAAAGATTTTTCGTTTTGAGGTCCCTAGAGGCCAAAAACACCATCCGTTCAAATTCATATATATTTATATATATATATATTTATAAAATTAAAACATATATAACAAAGTACCCTTTTAGTAATTATTTTATTTTTCATGACGACATGTTTCGGAACTAAGTCCATTGTCAAGTCATTTTTACCATAACCTCATTCTTTTGTAAAATAAAAATAAAAATGACTTGACAATGGACTTAGTTCCGAAACATGTCGTCATGAAAAATAAAATAATTACTAAAAGGGTACTTTGTTATATATGTTTTAATTTTATTATATTAGTAGCCCTAAAAATGCAAGAAAATAATATATATTTATATATATATGTGTCCGTTAGCGCGATAACTCGAGTAAAAATGATCCGATTTTGATGAAATTTGGTACAAACGTGTAAACCTACGTTTATTCGAACGAGTTCGCGAACCAGCATGATCGGACCATGGGAACGGGGGTTTATGGGGGGTTTTATGGGGTAAAAATGGGTTTTTCCCATTTTTGACCCAAAAAACATCAAATTTTGCAATTTCTTTCTAAACTATTTTGTAGAGCTTAAAAAAACAAATAATTTAGTATATTGAAGCGTTATAATGCGCCTAATGGTTACGGAGAAAATTCCAAAAAATTGTAAATTTAAAATTCCCATGTTATTCTTATGGAGAATAAGTAAACTGTTGTAGTTTGCTTGTTTATTAACATATTTTGCCCAAATTTGGAAAATGTTTTTATTTCTTACTAAAAATTAACATTTTACATAAAAAAACACTTTTACCCTCCCTGTTGCAGCAAACCTAAGTATGTGATAAACTGATTCTATTTAAACAGGGATAAATGTGATATTTTTAAGGAGACATTTTAGTGTAAATCCAATCAGGCAAATGGAAATTCGCTTAGTCTGCAGGTTTGCTGCGGCGGGGGTATTTATTTTCTTTCACAAATACAAATTTGATTACTATTAATTATTGTTTTATTTGCGCCTGGCAAATGGTTTAAACCCGCAGCGCTGACTGTCAACTCGTGAAGTGAAGACTGGCCCTTGGACTGCTGTATTTATACCCGATTTGGTTGCTATGGAGACCATGGAATGTTCTAGAACTTTAAACCCAGATGTTTCCACCAAAAGTTATCTTCCTTTTCCGGCAGCCTGACGTCATCGCTGCCCCCTTGATCGTCGTTGATCCAACAGCTGCTGTCGGACGATCGGACCACTATTAAGTAAAATATCACCGAAAAACGGGAAAACGGGGAATTTTTTCTTTTTTGCTCAAAACCCATGTTGTGGGTACTCAAATTGTGCGGAATTTCATCCTGAACAAGAATATGTAGTTTTTATTACGATCGCTTTTAAGTAAAACATCACCGGACAGGTGAACTAACCTAACATAACCTAACTTAGGTTTATATTAGGTTAGGTTAGGTTAGGATAGATTAGTTTAGGTTAGGTTAGGTTAAGTTAGGTTAGGTTAGGTTGGTTTAGGTTAGGTTGAGTTTTGTAAGGTTAGGTTAAGTTTGGTTAGGTTAGGTTAGGTTTGGTTGGGTTAGGTTAGTTTACTAGGATAGGTAAGTTTAGGTTAGGTTAGGTTAAGTTAGGTTGGTTTAGGTTAGGTTGAGTTTTGTTAGGTTAGGTTAAGTTTGGTTAGGTTAGGTTTGGTTGGGTTAGGTTAGTTTACTTACAATACTCATGTTATTGATAAACTAACCCAACCTAACCTAACTTACGAACTTAGGTTAGGTTAGGATAGGTTAGGTTAGGTTAGCTTAGGTTAAGTTTGGTTAGGGTAGTTTACTTACAATACTAATGGTCTCTTAACCTAAGTTCGTAAGTTAGGTTAGGTTGGGTTAGTTTATCAAATAACATGAGTATTGTAAGTAAACTAACCTAACCCAACTAAACCTAACCTAACCTAACCAAACTTAACCTAACCTAACCTAACAAAACTCAACCTAACCTAAACTAACCTAACCTAACTTAACCTAACCTAACTTAACCTAACCTAAGCTAACCTATCCTAGTAAACTAACCTAACCCAACCAAACCTAACCTAACCAAACTTAACCTAACCTAACAAAACTCAACCTAACCTAAACCAACCTAGCCTAACTTAGCCTAACCTAACTTAACCTAACCTAACCTAAATTAACCTATCCTAACCTAACCTAACCTAATCTAAACCTAAGTTAGGTTATGTTAGGTTAATTAACCTGTCCGGTGATGTTTTACTTAAGGGCGATCGTAATAAAAACTACATTTTCGTGTTCAGGATTAAATTCCGCACAATTTGAGTACCCACAATATGGGTTTTGAGCAACAAAAAAAAATTCCCCGTTTTCCCGTTTTTCGGTGATATTTTACTTAATAGTGGTCCGATCGTAATAAAATTTACATATTCTTGTTCCGGAGGAAATTCCGCATAATTTGAGTACCCACACCATAGGTTTTGAGAAAAAAAGATATTTTTCCCGTTTTTCCCATTTTCCGGGAAAACGGGACGTTTCCGAAAAAAACGACAATCATTTTTGAAATCAGCGTGAAATTTCGACCATTTTGAAAAAAGAAATTTTTAATTTCAAGTGAGGTCCGGAGGTCGATATAATTACCATGGACTTTTTCATTATTTGCTCCCTAACTACTGCTTGTGAACAGTATGTGATCACATGTTCCATCGCAACTGGCACTGAGAGTGGTGGTGTATTTCTCGTCGGAGGCCTACTGTCGGAGCCCGTCAGACCAATGGGTTAATGCCATAAAATTGCGGAAGGCGTCGGAAGGTGTTGGAGACTTGACGGAAGGTGTCGTGTCGGAGAGCGTCGGACTAGTGGGTTTCCTGCTTTAGCCTCAGACAGAGACGTTATAATCGTTGCCAGCCTGCCAGCTGAGAATGCGAGCTTTACTTTGGTGTAGGTTGGTACTAAAATTTCCCGTAAAATCCTGTCTGGCAATGCTTTTGTCCCGGTTTCGGGGATTTTTTCTCTTCAACCCACATTACAAAGACACTGGATACGGATCCGTGCAGTGCTGCTACCTTTGGGTGTTTCAGTGAACTACATCCACTCTCGGGGTAACGCAGCACAGTCACCACTGCTCTTTTGTGATTCGTCAGACTGAAATATTTGAATGCCAATTGCGTTCGCTGATTCGGTTGCGCGCCGGGGCTTCGCCCGCCACTGGGGAGCGCCTGTAAAGTCGGCGCGTGCAGTCAACGTGTTAACCGATGTATAGGGTAATTAATTCTAAATTGTGCAGCAATGTCTCCGGATATGATCATATGAAAAAAAACAAACAAATGCATATCTACCACAAATTTTGCTCAGAATTTCATCCTTTTGGTAAAGTGACAACGATGACATGGAACATGAATCTTGGAATTTCGGGCACGTACCTTGAGAGCCTATAGTTTTTCCTGTGGCATTTGACCTAAAACCTTCAATGAAACACGTTCCAGAACTGTATATTGATTGGTTTGGGGGAAAAAGTTAAAATTACAACATAATTTAAGTCATCAAAGCTAACTTTTTACATTTGGCTGCCAGCAATAGTTGTTTAACTGCAACCCGTTTCTCTAAGCCACAAGTAAAAATTTAAAATCAGTTCTAAAATTAGCTAGGCAACAGGAGTTGTCTGCCATGAAGAAATACATATTTTCCTACAGTTACCTGGCAAAGTGGGCTTCTTTTCACTGATTACAGTACATCAAGTAGCTAATTGTTGCTTTTACTTACTTTTGCCACTTAAACACAAAACCGTTACTTTTTTCAGGCACATAATACGTGTACGCTTGAAAATAAGTTAACAGCACTTAAAGATACGACTATGATCAGCTGATGCAGTTTCTCATTTCGTTTAACCTAACTTAAAAACGTGTTGTATAGTGCTTGAAAGACTTATTATTTCTATTTATAGTAACTACAGGAAAAATATAGCTAATGTGTAACACAAGCACAAATGCCTTTGCTGCACTCGAGAAACTTTCCACACTCGCCTGCGGCTTGTGCGTAAACGTTACTCTCATGTGCGGCAAAGTACAACTTTGCACACTAGTTACACAAATAACTATTCATGTATGCTGTGCAGTTGCATATGTTAGAATAACAGCAATTAAAATAGTGCAAATAACGATAATTGTTATTGTTGAAGATTATTTTGAAAGAAAATAATTAGACCTGTACAACTACCATTAACAGAATTAATAGGTTATCTGAAAGTGGCCATTTGGCCCCCTAATATTTAAGACAATTGGGATTTTACTTTAAACGGAATTTAATTCAAAAAGAACAATCGTCTATATATAATAATCAAGGTCTAAAGAATCGGCAGAAACATAAGCCTGAAATATCTGCAACCGTTATGGAGATAATTCTGTAACCTGTTTATCAGCACCTAAAACTTGAGTAAAGTAAACCTTCAATAGTTTGACACTCAATAGTTCAACACGGGCTGAGCTATTTTGTCAAGTGATATTTAATGGTTACTATTGTGATATAAGCTGACTTGAACATTAATTAGTCATTTATTGTTGACTTGACACTTAACTAATGATCAGTGAAATTGCTTTTTAGTATTTAATAAATTTGGGTGATTTCTATATAAGACTTGTGTTTTTACTTTCCTGTATATTAAAGCCCACTTACTCCCTATAGTTCGATAGCTCGACACCCCTTGAGTCCACGAAGTGTCGAACTATCGAGGTTCTACTGTACTGTAGCCTCCCTCTTATTCGGACACCTTTTAACCGGACTACACTCGGCGGAAATGACATCTCTTTAACCGGACAATTTTGATCAGCACATTGGTTTAACCGGACTAGATCTTAACAGTACTGAAACGACTGTTCTCGTGGGAAAGATTTGAGACCCGTGATCACATGTCTAAATACAATGCTCTCCTAAATTTGTCGAATATCACAGTAAACAGTCCGTTTTAACGAGTTTTTGGGGACGTTGGTTAAACCGGAAAACTCGTTATTCGGACTAGACTCAGTCCCGAATAAGAGGGAGTCTACTGATATATATGCTGTCAGTCCAGTAAGGGCTAATACTTCTGCTCCAATGACACCCTGGCCCCATCTGCAATTCTAGGATTATTAATTCAAGGTTTTTTTCAGTTTTTGTTAATAATTCAAACTTGTTTATATACAACAATCATTAAATTTGATTTCATATTAAAATAGGCGTCAAGACATATTAGCTAACTAGAGGAGCTTTAATGTTTTATAACATTTAATAATTGATAATCCTACTAATATTATAAATGAGAAAGTTTGGATGTATGGATGTATGTTTGTGACAAGTGAACGCGAAAAATACTGGTCGGATTGGGCTGAAATTTGGCATGATGATAGCTCACATTCCCGATTAACATATAGGCATATTCTTATTTCAAAAATCCTTTCGGGCTCCGCCCCAGTGGCTCTGGAGTTTCCCATGTTAACCTTATGAGAAATGAAATTATTGAATCTTAACAGCTGTTTCAATTAAACAAGTTGGTTCTGTTCTGTGATGTTCAATAGCATTAAAGTTACAAAAATTACCAACAGGGTGCAGCACTATTATTTCTTTTACATTTATGAGAACAGCTAATTTGCAACCAAAAGGTGAGTGAGCGTAGCCAACGAACTTCAACCTGGAGGCGAGTTAGCGTAGCGAACGAGCTAACCTGAAGGCAAGTGAGCGCAGCGAACGAGCTCCAACCTAAAGGTGAGTGAGCGTAGCGAACGAGCTCCAACCCAAAGGTGAGTGAGCGTAGCGAACAAACTTCAACCAGGACGTGATTGAGCCATGGGAACGAGATAATCTTGAAAATTTTAAGAAGTTAAACGGGGCAAAGCCCGCGGGTTACAGCTAGTAAACAATAAAGTGATAGGGTAGAATAAAAAAAATATTTATAAACATGTGTTTATTATGGAACTTTGCAGCAAAATACAAGTAAGAAAACATTGTGGATGAATTAACTTAGAAGTAGCAGCATGATGAAAACATCCTGTGTTAATAACTATGTGGTAAAGAGTATATTAATGTCTGGAAAAAATTACAGGAACTTTCAAATATATTTATCACAGGGTTGTGAAAAAGTTCAAACATAATGTTCTCAACAAAATTTGATTCTAACAAAAAACTGCAACTAAAAGTACAATACCATCATCCATTACTTAAGGATATCTAAAAGTGAACAAAAATGTATTGCTAGATTAATTCTAAGACTTTGTATTAACATAAAAATTAAACATGTAATAAAAAACAAATAAATTTAACATATTTACAGATTTATAATACAAGATGTTATGAAAATTGGGATAATTTAATCTCCCATTTCAATGGGAATTGGTATCCTGGATATTAGGGAAATCCAGCGGTAATCTGAATTTTACATCTTGTCAAACAGCACCGGTTGGATTCTTTTAATTTACCCATATCAAATCTTACAACTAAGTTAATTACCATGGTAATATTTTTAACAGAAACAAAGACTAAAAATTTAGATATAAAAATAGTTCTTGAAACAGTATCACAATTTGGACACCAGATGAGGTAATAATAAAACATAAACTTACAGAACTCATGGTGTCTCAATCTCATCACTTTTACAACAAACTACTTATCAGATGAGCCTTCAGGTATGGCACTGGAAATACATCCAGGTACAATATGATCATCAACATTGTAACGCCGTGGAGTCGTTGGAGACCCGGAAGTATCAGTCTTGGCACTGTCATGTTTACTTTTTGATTCAGCCTCATTCACGGAATCAGAAGTTTCAGGATTCTTCATCGATTTGTCCTCATCTTCTTGGACGTTACTAACGCCATTTGAAGAACTCGTATCTAATGTTACATGCTTGCTTTCTTTAATCACCTCACTTACAAACTGGTCTACTCCTTGGATGTTGTTGTTGTCAATATTTTTTATTTGACTTTCAGCACTGGCTACTTCTTTCTCTGTTTCAAAATTATCTACATGCTGCATGTCTTCTTGTAGTTTCATGTTTTCTATTTTCGCATCGTCACTTTCCTGCACTCCTTTTTTCCTGCAACAAAATAAAAATCTTTAGGTACCGGTACCTACTCTAAAAATATTGATGCCCTTACCACAACAACAATACAAACACAAAACTGTATTGTATAACTTATAATATTCAATAAATGTTGGTATCTGTTATTTTACAGTAATAATGATTTCAAGTAATTTATCTTAATATACTTGAACTTTTAGCGAATTTCTCATACTGGGAATAAGCTATTACCATAGGCCAAAAACACTGTCTGTTAAAATTTATATCATATTTATACAAAAATTATATATGATTATAACCATAATCATGTTTTAACAAATTTCCTATGCAGGGAATAATAAGCTATTACCATAGATCTCATGATAAGGCCTGGACTCAGGGCCGATTTCCTGTTTTGTTTAAAGGTTCCCAAAGACCAAAAACCCATATATTGTGTGTGTATGTATGTACGTGTGGCTGTGTCTTTAGCATGACAACTCAAACAAAAATTATCCAATGTTAATGAAATTTTGTATAAACGTGTTAAACTACATTTCTTTCAAAGAAGTTTGCGAACCAGCATGGTTGGACTATGGGTTATGAGGAGATTTATTGGGGTTAACATTTTTTCCTTTCCAAACTGTAGAGCTAATAAAACTAATAATTTAGTGCGCATTTTTAAGCATTATTGTATGCTAAATGGTTTATGGAGAGAATAAAAAAACTCGCTTCCTGTAACAGCAAACCTAAGTACGAGTTAAACCTTGTATTAATTATTTACCAAACCAATCTGATTTTTAAACATAATAACTGCTTGAAACACTTTTAATGGTTTTCCAAATATGCTGCACACAAAACAATCACAAATTCCCTGTAAACGGATCGGGATATGTGTTTTCATACACATATCCCAAACGCAATGAAATTGCGGAACTGCTTTATGCACACAGGTGATATGAACACAACAGTAAATGCTGAGCTCACACTTTAACAGTTAAATACAGGTAAGATAGGGGAGAGGGGGGTCGGATCCGAACCTTCCACAATCAAAGTGTTAAGGGAATATTTAAGTGAAAATCTACTAAGGCAATTGGAAGTTCACTTAGTCAGCAAGTTTCCTATGGCAAGGGTATTTGAATTTTACATATTATATATAATACGTGAAGGCGATTTCTACAAAACACTACTCCTCCGTTAATAAAGGACGGATTTTTACAAACGACGTCTCAAAATAAAATATTTTTTGTGTAGACGCCCCCTTTTACCAATTCATGTAGTAAAAATCCTCGGGCTTTGCCCCACAGGCCATCAAAGTTCGAGTTTCTCCCATAAGATTAACATGGGGGAATCTAAATATTTGATTGGAAACTTTGTCCCCACTAATTTGAGAGAACGGTTGGGCGTAGAAACCTGGTAGGGGTGTCCAAAGAAAGGTCTTGGTCTGTAGATGAGCTATCAAAAGAAAAACTAAGCAAAATCCCTTAGGACTCTGCCCCAGAATCCTTTAAAGATCCCTCCACAGAGTTGTTTACATTTTGGCCATGAGAATAATACTTTTAATGAAACAGCTGTTCATTTTTAAATTGTATTTCAAACAACACATATTTATTGGGAGTTGTATTCTACCAAATAAGTATTTTCCTACAGTCACCCGACAAAGTTGGCTTCCTTGTTTTACATATTACTTGAATTTTACCTTGTTAGATTTACCCACTATCGGTCCCAATTACCTTGATCAAGTGAGAAATTTGTTCACACATATCACAACAAATGTAAACCAGTAAACCTAATACAATAGACAAATGTATGATTCATTACAATGCTCTACGAACCTTCTGCTAACTCTAAAACTGGCCATTTGCAGCCACAAACTGATGCTTTGTTTTATTTCCAGCTCTGTCGCTTCTTTAAATCGCTTTTTAGCTGCAACTGCAACAATAATTGAAGTTAAATAGCACCCAAAGGTCATAACCAACAATATAGTACGCATATTTTGTTTATAAAAACAATTATCTTTTAAAAACACAATATAGCCTACCATGTAATTTTCTTTTAACCAACAATAGATTTTTGACTGATAGTTAATTATACATCTGTAATAGGGTAAGATACTAAAATAAGTTGCCAGTATGTTTGGGTGGTGTACAGTGGGATTTTCACAGAGAATCAATTTAAAAAAAAAAACTAGAAAACTTTTGTCTTACTAAACTTGTTGTGTGTGTTGTTGTTGTTGTGTTGTTGTTGTGTTTGGACTTGTTTTTAGGGGTCTCAATATTGAAAATTCAATTTGAAAGTTTTCCCAAACAAAAATTACATTACATATCCTAATGGCACGTACAGGAAAATCTCAAGCTAATTTTATATAGTGCAAGTAAGTTTTAGCTGCCAACATTTTAAGTTGGTTTCACCCTTCAGTTCGATATAGTTTTACCTTCATGGCAATCTCAATCTTGTATTTTTATTTTAAAAACAATTGTGTTTATTTTTTCTCTTTAATTAACAAATCTGTGGTGTTCCTATAACACTTACTGTGAACACATTTGCAGACATTAAATTTAGAAAAAGTCAATTTTTCTTTTTTTCCCACAGATTTCCCTGTATAAGACATATTCATAGCAACCTCGTCTGCAGTGGCCCTCCTCATCATTGCATTGATGCTTTGTTTTAATTCCTTCCCCCCGATATTTTCGAGCATTTTGATCTGTAACAAATTAAAAATAAATTAATTATAATAGCTAGGCCTACATAATTTTTACATAAAAAAGAATTATTTAGTGTTAACTTGTTTGATGTATAAACAAATACCCCCGCCACAGCAAACCTGCAGACTAAGCGAATTTCAACTTGTCTGATTATACATATTTACTAAAATATTTCCATAAATAAGACATATTTATTCCCAATTTAAAAAACGTTAGATTTAACGAGTGCTTAGGTTTGCTGCTACGGGGAAGGTAAACAGTGTTTTTTTGACCGAACGTCAATAGTATAGAATGAAATAAATAAATGTGCTAAATTTTATCAAAATATATCCATAAACAAGTCAACTACAACAGTTTTCATTTTCTCCATAAGAATAACATGGGAATTTTAAATTTGCCCTTTTTTAAATTTTCTCCCTATCCCTTAGGCATACAACAATGCTTTAATATACTAAACTATTTATTTTTTTAAACTCTACAAAATGGCTGGGAAAGAAATTCCAAAATTTTATCTTTTTTGCGTCAAAAATGGGAAAACCCCATTTTTTCTCCATAAAACCCCACCATAAACCCCCGTTCCCATGGTCCGATCATGCTGGTTAGCGAACTCGTTCGATTAAATGTAGGTTTACACATATATATATATAAACATATAAATATATATATATATGAATTTGAACGGATGGTGTTTTTGGCCTCTGGGGACCTCAAAACAAAAAAATAAATCGGTCCCGGGCCCAGGTCTTACCATGAGACCTACTGTAATAGCTTATTCCCTATATGGGAAATTCGCTAAAATGAAGTTGTTTTGTCTGTGTTGATGTAGAAAACAGTATGTTCTTCATAACAATTTTACCAGAGGGTTTTTAGCAGCAAACAAAAAATTACTGATTCCCAATTGTAATTAAAACTGTACATAGAAACCTTTTAAACTCTAGTCGGTTATGTGCTATATTGTATACGATAATAGCTAAATTAACCTTGCATAGCTATTGTCAGCACTACACGGTTAAACGTGAGGTTTTCGTTTAAATGTAGTGACATGGAATACTATAACGATGATGATTGCTGTGTTTGATATTAATTCTGAGGAGGGATATAATTGTATTCCCAAACAGGCTAGACCTACCCCTGTACCAGCCACGCTCAAATTTCTGCAACTTACAAGCAGCATTAGATGATTCAGTCTTAATACTTAAAATTGTTTGTACGTTTCTTCATCATTTAAATTCTCTTCTAATTTTTCGAATGCCTTTTGATTTTCACAGGGAATATTAGTGAATGATTCTATTTTGGAAGTTCTATTTGTTGTTAGTTCATCTACTGTCTTCTTGACCAAATCTAATTTTTCTTCCATTCTTTCCTGTCGCTCCATAATCTCTCTAATTTGGTCTTGAATTTGATGGAGAATTGTATTAGACGAGAAGCAAATAAATTTTTTATTGGAAATAAGGAAGTTGAAATTGCTAATAATGATGTTACAGTTGCAAATAAAACCTACAAGGGAACAAAAGGTTTGTGGGAATTGTTAACTTTAAAAGAACCTGAAGATTATGCTCAGGTTGATTTGCAAAATTATAAAGAGATTTTGGAAGCTACAAATGGACATTTAAAGAGTTACAAAGATGGTGCACCAATTTCAAGAAATAAACATACTAAATATCTTAATATAATTAAACCTCTATTTAGATCTGTTGGTGAAGGTTTGAGGCAAGTGACTGGTAATAAAAGAGACTATATTTATTGGGATGATCCTAATGAGCTTGTAGATAGGTTAAGACTTCTATGGCTAAGTCGCCAAGCTGGTAACTCAGAGTGGATAATGAAATAGATTCCATTATTGAGGAATTGAGAGAAAGTGGAATTATTTATTAAATAAAAATATGTTTATAGATAAATTTTATCGTTTATGTAATCCATATAATAAACCTGCAGAACCTAGGGCGGCTCATGAACCTACTTTAAATTTAAAAGACGATAGTTGGAATTGTTTAAACCGTAAAATTGGTAATGTTAAAGATGGAGAGTTTGTAGATGATGTATCAACTTTGGGGCAGACATTAACTAGAAAAGGTGATGTCTTTTTACAAGGTAAAACTAAATATGAGTTTTTAGAATCTAAGAATAAAAATTGGAATGCTAAAAAACAGAAAATTACTAATGTGGAAAAGGGTGAAAGTTTAGATGATGTGCCCACTTTACAACAGACATTAATACGAAAAGATGGCAAATTTGTACAAGACAATAATAATTATGGATTTTTAGAATCAGAGAATGGTGTTTGGAATGCTAAGAAACAGAAAATTACTAATGTGGAAAAGGGTGAAAGTTTAGATGATGTGCCCACTTTACAACAGACTTTAATACGAAAAGAAGATGGTAAATTTGTACAGGACGATAATAATTATGAATTTTTAGAATCAGAGAATGGTGTTTGGAATGCTAGTGATTTGATGGAAGGTACAGATAGTAAAGATGCTGTGAATGTTTCACAAGTTCCAAAAATGGAAGCAAGCTATTGGAATTTTAATAATAAAAGGTTAGTACGTGTAAAACCTGCTATTGATGAAACTGACTGTGTTATAAAAGAACAGACTATAACTTTTGATAAAAAAGAAAAATGTTGGGATGCCAAAAAACAATTTATAAGGAATCTACCAGAGGGGGGACATTTGGATGATATTTGTCTAATGTCACAAGCTATGCATTATGATGGATCAAAATTTGTATATGGAGAAAAAAATTTTAATTTGATGGAATACAATCCTGATTTATTAGTTGCTGACCCCACATCTTTGAGTGGATTTAAGTATATAGATAACAGACCATATATACCAGAAAACTATGTATATAAAAGAATGGAAGATAATCTATTGATTGGGGCTAATGGTGATGTATTTAGAGTTACAGGAAAGGGTGATGTTATAAAAAATGAATAAAATTGCATACGAACTTCATAAGCCTGCAAGAAAGTCTTTTAAAGTATTGGGTATAAACGAAACCATACAAATAGATTTAATTGATATGCAAAACTATGCTAGAGAGAATTCTGGCAATAAATATATTTTAACTTTAATAGATACTTTTTCTAAAAAAGCTTATGCTGCTCCACTAAAGAATAAGACAGGGTTGGTGGTTACAGAAGCCATTAAAACCATTCTACCAAAGGGGGTTTAATACCCCCGCCGCAGCAAACCTGACGCCTAAGCGAATTTCCATTTGGCTGAATTGATTTTCAATTGATCTATTTAAATAACATTAGGTTTAACGAGTACCTAGGTTTGCTGCTACAAGGAAACTAATAAAGTGTGTGTTTTAAGTAAAATAATTATTGCTTAGTATAAAATGAATATATTTGCCAAGTTTGATCAAAAGATATCCATAAACAAGCAAACTACAACATTTTACAATATTCTCCATAAGAATAGCATGGGAATTTTAAATTTACCATTTTTTTAGTTTTCTCCGTAACCAATAACCGTACAAAAACACTTTGATATACTGAATTGTTTGTTTTTTTAAGTTCTTTAAGAAGGTTTAGAGAAAAATTGGGAAATTTTGTGTTTTGAGGGTCAAAAGTGAGAAAAACCAATTTTTACCCCATAAAACCCCCCATAAAACCCTGTTCCCATGGTCCGATCATGCTGGATCGCGAACTCATTCAAGTTTATCCCGCCTTACACCTTCAAACCAAATTTCATCAAAATCGGATAAAAATTACTCAAGTTATCGTGTTCACGGACACATATATATATATATATATATACATATATAAAAATTTGAACGAGTGGTGTTTTTGGCCTCTGGGGACATCAAAATGAAAAAGTAAATTGGTCCCGGGCCTAAGTCTTACCATGAGACCTACGGTAATAGCTACTTCCCTAAAGGGAAATTCGCTAAAACATTCAATCTGACAATGGAAAAGAATTTTTTAATCAATATTTTAGCAAACTAATGAAAAAATTAAATATTAATCACTATCACACATTTTCTACAACTAAGGCTGCAATTGTGGAGAGGTTCCAGAGAACTTTAAAGAATTGGTTATATAGGGAATTTAGTGCTCAGGGAAGTTATAAATGGTTGGATTTACTTCCAAAGTTAATTCGAAAATATAATAATAAAGTGCATAGATCTATAGGAATGAAGCCTAACCAAGTGAATGTTAAAAATAGTAAATATGTGCATGAGAGGTTGACTTCTAAAGTAGTGCAAGTTAAAAAGCCAAGATATAAGGTAGGTGATAGTGTGAGAATTTCCAAGTATAAACATGTGTTTAGTAAAGGATATACCCCAAATTGGACAGGGGAGTTATTTACAATAGCAGAAGTTAAGAATACAAAGCCTGTGACTTATATCTTTATAAATGGTTTCAAGTTACCTTTGTCAGTAGCTCAAATCCAAATATTTGAGCTACTGACAAAGGTAACTTGAAACCATTTATTAAGTCTAATAGCTCAGGGGCAGAAAAAACAAAAATGTTTAAATTTATATCTTTAAAGATGAAAATGGCAATATAATAAGGGGAGGATTCTATACAGAGGAGTTGTTAAAGACCAAGTATAAAGACATGTATTTGGTAGAGAAGGTAATTAGGAGAAAAGGTGATTTATTGTATGTCAAATGGCTTGGGTTCCCAAGTAGCCAGAATTCATGGATTTCTGCAAAAGATGTCCAAGGGAGCACGCCCGCGACCGAGAGCGCGCCCGCGCCATGAGCCGGAAGCACGTGCAAACCACGCTCGATTTTGAGAATGATTTTGAGACAGAAATATAGACAACAACATATCAACATATCAAGAACAACTGGAAAGGGGAATGGTAGATGTACTCGCAATTAGGCATGGGGCGGGGGAGTTGGCCCAAATATGCCGCTCCTCAAAAAAAAAAAAAAAAAAAATATCCCCGCCGCAGCAAACCTGCAGACTAAGCGAATTTCCATTTGACTGATTGGATTTACACTGAAATGTCTACTTAAAAATATAACATTTATTCTCTATTTAAATAGAATTAGTTTAACTAGTACTTAGGTTTGCTGCATCAGGGAGAGTAAAACTGTTTTTTTTTTGTAAAACGTTAATAGTTAGTAAGAAATAAAAACATTTTCCAAATTTGATCAAAATATGTTCATAAACAAGCAAACTACAACAATTTACTTATTCTCCATAAGAATAACATGGGAATTTTAAATTTACAATTTTTTGGAATTTTCTCCGTAACCATTAGGCGCATTATAACGCTTCAATATACTAAATTATTTGTTTTTTTAAGCTCTACAAAATGGTTTGGAAAGAAATTCCTAAATTTTATGTTTTTTGGGCCAAAAATGGGAAAAACCTATTTTTACCCCATAAAACCCCCCGTAAACCCCCGTTCCCATCGTCCGATCATGCTGGATCGCGAACTCGTTCGAATTAACGTAGGTTTACACGTTTGTACCAAATTTCATCAAAATCGGATCATTTTTGCTCGAGTTATCGTGCTAACGGACACACATATATATATATATATATATATATATATATATAAATATATAAATATATAAATATATAAATATATAAATATATATATATATATATGAATTTGAACGGATGGTGTTTTTGGCCTCTAGGGACCTCAAAATGAAAAAAAAAATCGGTCCCGCGTCCAGGTCTTACCATGAGTACTACGGTAATAGCTTATTCCCTATATGGGAAATCCGCTAAAAAAAACAGCAGCGGCACACTATACTACTACTTATTTGAACCAAAACAGATGAAACACACAACATGGAGTAAAATATCCTGTACACATGATGGGGTGCTATGGGACAATTGGGAGTTGCTCCTGCTGCACATGCAGTGAATAGCGTTTTTACACTACTATACTATGGGACAGTTGGTGGGTTGTTCCTGCTCCTGGTTCAATGAATAGCAGAAAATAAGTGAGGAATAAGGTTTGACAATTATATAGGGATGTGTAGGCAAAGATCAGGATTTTTGGTTTTGGTGGCCAAAAAATGATCCCATGTTATTCTTATGGGAAAAAACACCTAAAGTGTCATGTCTTTCTGGGTTCACCACTACTGTTGTGAAATCAGGCCTAAGCCAGTTTCTATTGAGACTCGATTTGCGGACGGTACTACAGCGAAACAAACTGAGCTTTTCGAGTTTGAGGCTACGATTGACAATATGAAAAACGTTTTAAATGCATTCCATCTACCTTCGCTGACTAGCGATGTTATTTTGGGAGTAGATACGCTACATAAACTAGGCTTGATCACGTACAACGTTAAGACTTGTCATTTCAAACAAGATATGAAAATTTAAGGGCGAGAATCTTAAGGGGACCGACAATAGAGTCGCCGATGCTTTGCCACGAAACCCCGTTAAGCAGCCACCAGCTGAAGATGTACGAGTCACAATCTGTCCCGTAGTCACGCATTTCAAGCCTTCTCTACAAACCTCAAAGGTTACCGAGCAACCGAACCCAAATCGTGGGAATCATACTTCGTTTGCAAAGGTAAGCAAAGATCCGTCCTCATACGACCAATTTACTTCGGAATTGCCAGGAGAGCCAGAGCGTGAGGGAAAACACGCCAAACGGATACGACGTTTTACTAAATTGTACGATGATCCCAGAAAGAACCTCCGAACTGCCTTTAACCACAGAAAACGTACTACTATAACCCAGAATGCCAACCGCATGGTAAAAAGCATTAAGCGGTTTGAGAGAGCTTTGCCTGTCAACCGTAGGCAGCGCCACCAGCGTTGCAATGCTAAGTGCATGGCAACGCTGGTGGCGCTGCCTACGATTGACAGGCAAAGCTCTCTGAAACCGCTTAATGCTTTTTACCATGCGGTTGGCATTCTGGGTTATAGTAGTACGTTTTCTGTGCTTTAACGTACAGGCTAAAAGTTATAACCTACGGAGAAGGGATGTGCGGTACAATGTTGGTCAGTCCGTTCTAAAGCGAACTCACGTGCTCTCGTCGAAAACCGAAGCTAGCGAGTCGATTGGTGCCGAAATATGAAGGACCCTGTTAAAGTCATAGGTCGGTACAAAGTAAACCACGGGATGACAAAAGCAAACAAGTATGTATTTTACGTTAAGGATCTTAAGTCTTTTCTAGAAAGGCATGAAGATTAATGGCCGAGTCGATTAAATACGTATTTGATGTTTGAGAAAGCGTCGTTAACATTAAAAGAAATTGTTTTATTTGATACGAGAGTTTTCCTTTCAGTTACGTGAGACGATTGCACCATTGTCGATTTATCTGAAGTGAGAGATTTTTTTTGTGCGTTTTTTTTCTCATCCCGAACTAAAGAGGGGGTGTAACGGTAAAAATTTTACGAGATCAGAAAACGAGCGTTTAGGCGATTTCAAATGTCCCGCGCAGAGTCATTAGTTCTCCGAGCGGCCACATACTGCGCTAGCGTCGCGACCCCTTTAAAAGCCGCACAGGACACGGGACACTGGGACAGTGGGACTTGAGCGCTGGGCGAATAGCTAGCAACATCTCTCCCAGGTAAGAGAATTGGAATACATCGCGAAACCGTAGGTCGAGGGTGGAATAGCCCGGTAATTGGCCAGTGGTGAAACAACTCTGGCATCGTCGAATAGTAGGTGTTAGGCCAGGGCGAAATAGCTCGTGGACCCGCGACAATCGATTCGGTTTATTGTAAGTATCGTTGGTTTTAATTCCAAAAGTGAAACACGGTATATCCATTAAGTAGAGGTTTGTTTTATTTTCGAAGTTAACGATTTTAGTTAGTTACGACCAGTGTTTCACTCACGGAATCAACGCCAATTATTCTAAATTAATTAATTTGTTTAAATTAAGGCCTAACCCGGGCAGTGATGAGTGTGTCATTTACTGAAAGCTGATGCTTTAACGACCATATCTGAGCCCATATTTTAAAACTAACTATTATTAGTATTACTACTAACCCTGGACATACTCATTTAGATTAGCTATCCGAGGCTGACAGTACAATTTTGTCCCAGGACGAAATTGAACCGTCACAAGTCAATCTGAAGTTTTACCCATCTGAAGATTACGCCATGGCTCAGAATAGCTCATTGTGAGCTGATATTGAAACGTGCATGAAACGGTCGCTGTGTAGCTGTAATAGACTCACCACTTCTCCATAGTTGCAGTTCCATAGTGACTGAGTAGATGAAATGGCGTCTTGTGTAGAGCAGAAATAGCCCACCACGACGACCTCCCAATACCGCACACTCAGTAATAAACTGAAGAAAACCGTACATCTCCCGTATAAATTGAGGAGTAAAATTTGCATTTTCCAAAATATGAATGATTAGGCTACTCTGTTTATTTCCAATTGACTAAACAGATGTATCAAATTATACATTGTGTCTTTTCAATACAATTTTACCATATTATAAATACTTACAAAAGACTTTTTGTTTTCTTGACTGTTCAATTTATTATCAAACTCTGTAAAATGATTTATTGTTTGAATTGGGAGGTATTTACTAATGTCATCCTCATCATCATTGTCATTGTTTTTCATTAATGTATCTATTTTTTTTTCGAGTTCATCCATTCTTGAGGAGATATGATTTATCTTCTCGATTATTACCCGTAGGCCTATGTCATCTGAAACATAAAAATGTTGTAATTAATTACTATAATTTTGGCTATCAACACAACAAAGTTATAGAATAGAACGCCAATTGTACAAATGAATTGGTACAAAGGTTGATTTCAATTTGAATAACCGAATATTTCCATGGATGGTTGGATAAGCCAATTTAATATAGGCTAGTCTACTTAAATATGCACTTATTCCATGTAATTTAACTTTCTGATAACTCTTGCAGTTTTTCTGAAAACGTTTCTGGCATCAGTAACAATCTGAGACAATGGAGTATCAACCACAACATTACACATGTCGCCTTATCGGCACTACTCTGTGTTTTGAAAACTCATCCATGCTTAGAAACTTTGCCATCTACTGCCAGGACATTTCTTGACTCTCCTGCTTCACTTCCGATCCAAGAGATGAATCCTGGATACTATTGCCACATTGGTTTATCAGCAGGAATTAAACGTCTGTGGAAGAAAGTTGTAGAGAAGAATGTAAATACAATAGAACTCCTGATTGGTATTGACGACCTTCCCTTATTTAATAGTTGTTCGGGGGAAGTTTGGCCAATAATGGCATCGATTGTTAACCTACCATCAATCGTCAAAAAAGTTTGGCCAGTTGGGGTATACTACGGTAAGAAAAAGCCTTCAAATTGCAGAGAGTATTTAAAACATTTTGTTGAGGAAGCTGTGGAATTAATCACAAATGGAATTTCCATTGATGGTAATCTCATTTCTATTCAAAATAAATATAGCCTAGCCCGCATTAGGAACTGCGCAGCTTATGCGGCTATACATTACAAATAATGGAGATGTGCAAGCCTGCACATGTACATTGAAAGCGAATTAGCCCAAACTTAAAGACAACCCAACATAAAGGCCAAGCTGAGCTCTGGAGATACTTTTTCATACAACTTTTATTGTAATATTGCAAAAAAATAATTTATTACCTAACCTTGATTTTCGTTAAAATAATTTGTATTTTAGCATATGTAATTTTTAAATACAAATTGTTTATTGCTAAAGGTGTCTTATTAATTCATCTTCCATATTGGTTCAATTCTCACAATTGTATGAACTGTCAGCAAAACATTGACGACAACCTTTAATATACAACCTTACGACAACCATTACAGTAACCTTAGCTAAAGGTTACACCAATGGTTACATTGCCAAAAAAATCTTATCCTACTGACTTCAGTGAGCTTAGACCTATATCAGTCTTGCCTACCATATCAAAAGACTGGAAAAAATAGCAATAAAACAAATTCTAGAACATTTAGAAAAAGAACAAATCCTTCCAAAATTACAGTCAGGGTTTAGAAGAAACCACAGTACCTGCACTGCATTGGTGAATATGTTTGCAGACTTGTTTGAGGCGAGGGACCGGGGCAGGTGTAGCTCTGTTGTCATGCTTGACTATTCACAGGCGTTTGCCTCTATAAGCCACAGTTTACTTCTCGCAAATTGGGACATCTTGGTTTTATGGATAATGCAATTGCTTGGATGCAGTCGTACTTGGAAAAAAGAGAACAGGTGACTAGAGTGGGAGCTGATGTTTCACTTCCCCTTGACAAAGTCCGGGAGTGCCGCAGGGGAGCTGTCTGGGTCCCATTTTATTCACCCTGTACACTGCAGACATATCCAATTGCGTACACTTCTGCAATGTGCACGCCTATGCAGATGACTGCATGTCAGATGCATTTATCCTATGATGTCAACTCAATTGACCAAGCTGTTGCGAGGATGAACTTGGATTTGGCAAATGTCAGTGAGTGGTCCATGAAGCATGGTCTCAAGTTAAACCGGGAGAAATGCACTGTTCTTCATATTGCTCCGCCCAACTATGTTTTTTTTTTTTTAAGAGGTTGGCGGCCTCTTTTAACCTTGCATTTGCCCGTCCACATAGACTAATAGACTTGTTCAATTGATCATTGATGGAGACGTGCAGGTAAAACTTGATGACGTGGAGTTGAAGGTGAGCCACACTGCCAGGACTTTGGGCGTAATATTAGACAGTGGTCTTACCTTCTCTGATCATATCACCCATGTTTCCCAGCTGGCGTTGGGTAGATTGCGGGGTCTGTACAAATGCCGAACCATCCTACCTGAGACAGCCAAGATTCAGCTGATTCAATCAATTGTCTTGTCAGTGCTATACTACTACTGTTTTCCTTCATATGGCAACAGCATCACGAATGAGGGCATGGAAAGGATTCAAAAACTTCAGAACACTGCAGTAATATTTATATATGGTCTGCGGAAACGCGATCATATATCTGAATTTGAAAAAACTGCCAGTCTTTTGCCCTCAGCAGCCGTGTGCAGGATGCAAACCTGCACTCTGGTTCATCGGGTACTGGTCAAAAAAGAACCAGCTACCTGATGGAAAGACTGGTCTCCCGCGATCGGGTGTCTCGGTACAATACTCGACAGGAAAAGCAGTTTCACTTCCCGAGAGTGAGGCTGGAGATTGCCAGGAGAGGCTTTTCATACTTTGGGCCCAAGTTGTATAATGACCTCCCCTGTGATCTTAAGTTGCTGGGTGTTCCAGCCTTTAGAAATAAGCTAAAAGAAATGTATAGAAAAAGGACCTCAAATTTTGTAAATAGATTCTGTACTTTTTGTTATTAGTTTTATTTCGTATTAGTAAATAAATTGACAAGAGTTATCCTGTAAAGCAGTATGTACTGAAGAACACTTGCTAAATAAAGGCATTTTTATTTATTTATTTATTTAATGCTACACCCAAAGTTCACCCACTTAGGCGCGTTCCCCTTAGCCTATATGCTAAGCTTAAAGACACATTAGATAAGTTAAGAATTGAAGGTATCATTGCAGAGGCCAATCGACCTACTGATTAGGTAGGTACAAAGCCTAGTAATAGTAGAAATACCCCCGCCGCAGCAAACCTGCAGACTAAGCGAATTTCCATTTGCCTGATTGGATTTACACTAAATTGTCTCCTTAAAAATATCACATTTATTCCCTATTTATAGAATTAGTTTAACACATACTTAGGTTTGCTGCAACAGGGAGGGTAAAACTGTTTTTTATGTAAAATGTTAATAGTTAGTAAGAAATAAAAACATTTTCCAAATTTGGGCAAAATATGTTAATAAACTAGCAAACTACAACAGTTTACTTATTCTCCATAAGAATAACATGAGAATTTTAAATTTACAATTTTTTGAAATTTTCTCCGTAACCATTAGGCGCATTATAACGCTTCAGTATACTAAATTATTTTTTTTTAAGCTCTACAAAATTGTTTGGAAAAAAATTGTATGTTTTTTGGGTCGAAAATGAGAAAAACCCATTTTTACCTCATAAAAGCCCCCATAAACCCCCGTTCCCATTGTCCGATCATGCTGGTTTGCGAACTCGTTCGAATAAACGTATGTTTACACGTTTGTACCAAATTTCATCAAAAACGGATCATTTTTGCTAGAGTTATCGCGCTAACGGACACACATATATATATATATATATATATGTGTGTGAATTTGAACGGATGGTGTTTTTGGCCTCTAGGGACCTCAAAACGAAAAAAAAATCGGTCCCGAGTCCAGGTCTTACCATGAGTACTACGGTAATAGCTTATTCCCTATATGGGAAATTCGCTAAAACCGGATCAAAGCTTAAGGTTATGTCTCGATTGTAAGGAACTTAATCCTATACTCTAATACGAGCAATGTTTGCTTGTATGTATGTATGTATGTATGTATGCTTGCACCAAGATCTCGAAAAAGGCTCCAACGATTTCCACAGTATACTAGCAAATTAAAAATACAGTACAAAAGGAAAACATCAGTTGTTACTATTAAGCAAAGATTATACTGAAGATTACTCAATACATTGTAGTCAAGGGTAACAGTGTGGAGTAAGGGTAATAAGGGAACTGTTTAGGAGGATTATATTAAGATATCTACAATCCTAAAATGCTATGGGAAGGGAGGGAAACAGGTCCGCGACGCAGGAAGTGGTGAAGGAAATAGTAAAGGCGAGCAGTCTGGAGTGTGGGAACTGTTTATGACGATTAGATTATGGTATCTGCAATCCAAAAATGCTATGGGAAGGGAGGGAAACAGGTCCGCGACGTAGGAAGTGGTGAATGAAGTAGTAAAGGCAAGCAGTCTGGAGTGTGGGAACTGTTAATGACGAATATATTAAGGTAGCTGCAAACCTAAAATGCCGTGGGAAGGGAGGAAAACAGGTCCACGACGTAGGAAGTGGTGAAGGAAGTCTTGGCCCCCACATTTAATTGTGGGCCCTGTTACCATGATCTCCCCAGCGCAGAGGGGGGGGGGGGGGTGGAAAAATTTTGAAAATGTCATGTATTTTAGTGAGTTTTTAAGGCAATCTAGGTATTAAATTTGTGAGTGGTAAATGGCACTTTTGCAGCCTTTTTTAAAGAAGAAAAGAGTTCTTCAATGAGTTTTATAGGACTTAAAATTACAGGAATTCAGCAAATAAAACTATTATATCAATACACAAAAGCTCCATGCCTATTAATATTTTGTCTTTTCTATTTCCCTGTAAAAGGGTTTGGCTATCTTAACTGCTATGGGGATTAGATTAAAGTATCTACAATCCTAAAATGCTATGGGAAGGGAGGGAAACAGGTCCGCGAAGTAGGAAGTGGTGAAGGAAGTAGTAAAGGCAAGCAGTCCGGAGTGTGGGAACTGTTTATGACGATTAGATTAAGGTATCTGCAAACCTAAAATGCTATGGGAAGGGAGGGAAACAGGTCCGCGTCGTAAGAAGTGGTGAGGGAAGTAGTCAAGGTATACTGTCCGGGTTGTGGGAACTGCTTATGACGAGTAGATTAAGGAATCTGCAATCCTAAAATGCTATGGGAAGGAAGGGAATCAGGTCCGCGACGTAGGAAGTGGTGAAGGAAGTAGTAAAGGCAAGCAGTACGAAGTGTGGGAACTGTTAATGACGATTAGATTAGGGTATCTGCAATCCTAAAATGCCGTTGGAAGAGAGTGAAACAGGTCCGTGAC